TGCAAGCTTGCAATAGAAGTAACCATAGACAATTAAACCAACTAGCTCTTTTCACCGCAAGGCTCTGTTCCAAATCTCGCAGTGTAAAAAAAAAAGCAGATCGCACTTATGCACTCAAAATAGCATTTGCAAGTGCCGAAGTTCGAAAATTGTGACACAGTCTTTTCTACCAGGAAGCTATTTAGCTCCCCTGGGCTCCCTGGTTAATTTATGGGAGATTTCAGATAGATTTTAGGTTTCTTTGAATTTTCCTGGCCTTCTTTACAAATCTATTGATGGCTTTCTGGTATTTAGCCACATGAGAATGGATTAGTTCCTTTTAACTCTATACATTTGAAAAAATACACTATTTCAAGGCTCACTAACTTCTCTGAAACATTTGAGCATTGCAGTTTATGTGAAATGTTACTCAAAGAGGAGTAAATAGTTGGCCGCCGTATAGCTCAGTTGGTAGAGCTGTATGTACTGGGACTAGGTCCCCATGTGGAGGACCAGGGTTCGAATCGGCCTGGGACCATTTGACGCCTGTCGTCCCCCGTTTCCCCCTTTCATAGCTGTCACTCCAATAAAGGCACTGGTTGCCCGAATTTTTTTTTTGTCTTTTTGCTTTGGATCTTCGCTGACATTTTATGCAGATTTGTTCTCTAGTGAATTTGTTGTCAGTGGGACAGTATATTTGGGGCCACACAGTAGGGCTGCTCGATTATGGCAAAAATCATAATCTCGATTATTTGGGTCAATAATTGTAATTGCGATTATTCATTGACTTTGAAAACATCCATTTATTGTACTTTAAAACAAATACAAATAATAATTTGAACTTTTTAACTTTTGAATTATACGTTCAGGGTAATCAACTGAAAAACCAATACAAAATAAAATAAATTATACATTCATGTCTACATTTAAATAAATAATATCAAAATAATAAATACTAATAAACAAGATCAACAAACATGTTGTAGTGCACTCACAACCTGAAAACTCCTTAACATATAGCCAACATTTTGGTAAAACATATTCAACATATTCCACTCAGTTAAACATTAAAGGCTGGCCTACCATCATGGTCCAGAAGTAACAGGAAATAAATGTTGAACTACAATTTAAGACCAAATAAAAATGTTTTGGCCTCCATGGCAAATGCTGGTAGGGCTGCTCATCTCATCTCTTAAAGATTTTTTGCTAGAAACACCAGCCTGTTTACATGGTCTGGTTTCAGAGATGAGCGCAGGCAGGTGACAATATTGCCACCTGTACTGAAGACACAGAAGATTTAACCGGAGATTATATTCTTGGTTCCAGAATAAATACACCCCTAGTCTATTGTCCTATTTTGGTGCTTCACATTTTTTTCAAATAATATTTGGCAATTGTCTTGCTTTTCTTCATTTTCTTCATTTCCAAATATGAGCTAAGGGCGTTATCTCTTCTGTCCCAAAGGTACTGTTTGCCATGGTAGCTAAAGAGGCTCGTTTAGATAAAGTTTATGAAGTGAGAGATGGTCCCACTGGTAACAAGCCAGCTGGGGTCGTTCTCTCAGCAGATTTGGACCTTTGCTTTTTCTTTATATTTTCTGGCTTTGTAAGGTGTCTGATTACACTGCTGCTGACATTCACCTAGCTTCTCCCAGAGCACTAATCTAGCAATTAAAAAAAAATCCCCAGCCTTTGTGTTCACAGCTGCACTACACGTTCATGTTTAAGAAAATAAATCATGTGACGCGTATCATTAACATCTTGCAGTGAACTCGGAGGCAGAACACACTTCAGTTTCTTGATCAAGTTTAACATGTTCTAAGGCGCCGTTTACACGAGGAGAAAACTGCTTGTATCTGCATAGTTTCGCGTGCGTATAGCCCTATTATTTACACGAGGCCGATAGAAACTGACCCCACAAACGATAACGGGTCCCAAGGTGGATAGATTTGCAAACAAAACGCTCTGGGGGGTCAACCGAGTCCGTGTAATCACCTCTATACGAATATTTCCTGAAAAAATAGCGATAGCCCCACCTCTCCCCGCCTCTCCTGCTCACTGCTGTAGCAACTATCAAAAATAGCTGTGTTAATTAAACGCACAAGGGGTTCTTGAATGAAATAATATTATAAAAGGCAAACCAGAATTGTTAACGCCCAATATACTCCTTAAACAAAATAAACAGAGTCAGATTTCATGCATTGATCCATTATATTGACAATTTTCCAGCCAAACAACACAAACAAAATTAAACAGTCCGCTCTGCGATACACCAAACTTGTCTTTACTGCCTAATCCAGGCCATTATTGTTCATTGCTCCTGCGCCCGTCGGCGGCAAAAAGAGAAATGTTTGTAGGCAGAGGACCGGCGTGTCCCAGAGGAGCGATCTCACCCGGTGTTTGTAGAGAATATCTCTCTTTCTGAGCGCGTCCTCTCCACGGAGACGTGCTTCTTGGTCGGTCGATGCAATATCCACAGATTCGGTTTCTTTTAGTTAACTTCCCCGTTGCATTTATCCATATGCTGAGGAAATTACTATATCCCGCTGAATACCAGCAATCGCCACACACACTTCCTCCTGTCAGTAGCTACTGCTAGTGCTACTGCTACTGACCATGCTACAGATATTAGTGCAAAATCTACAGCTCCTCTACCACAACCATCAGCAACAAGTGGACATGGAGAATTACATGAACTACATGTTGCTAAATACACCGCGGGGCATAAACAGAAGGGTAGCCATGGCAACATTGCTGCGGGGCTGCTCCGGGCTGCTCTTCTTCGCTGCTTTTGGTGTATTTTGGCGGAAGTTACAGCGCCACTTACAGTCCCGGCATATGTACTACAGCGTTTCCAGCGGTCTCGTTTGAACAGACACGTTAAATGAAACGAATGCATGTGAACGGAAGACTTTTTTGAATATGCATACTGTGCATAAACGCAAACGTTCCCGTGTGAAGGAGGCCTAAGTCAGGTAAGAAGGTCACAGCAGTCCAACCATACATTATTTGCATATGAACAGGTAAGCCTCTCAGAATAGATGCAACAACAAACGGATTAGTGTGAGTTTTGTGGAGGACCGTATATGCATTTATTTCCCTATAGAAGAAGATAAAACTGATTATAAGATGTGTGTCTAAAGAGAGGCGTCTACGTTTCCTAAATTCAAAACGATGCATACGGACTTGTTAAGCTCAAACTGGTCAGGTATGGTTGTTCTGAGTTTAAGGTAACCAAAGCAAAGGTGTCACCTTTCTATTGTTCAATGTTAAAGCGTGAATGGCTATGCTCCAACTAGGCCCGTCACAATAATTAATTTTGTTGGACGATACATTTTCCCGGAAATTATTGCGATAAACAATAATATTGTCGGCACCGTTGTAAGACCATTTTAGACCACTGACATAATGATAATATATAATAATAATAATAATTCAAGTACATCCTTTCAAACAGAACTTTTTTATTGAACATTCAACATTGCAAATTAAATGTGAAATAATATTCAAATATATAAATTATATATAATAAATAAACAAATAAATTAAATTATAAAAAATTAATTAAATCACACACAACCAAAACAATAAACCGATATATATATATATATATATATATATATATATATATATATAATATATATATATATATAATATATATATATATATATATATATATATATATATTATATATATATAATATATATATATATATATATATATATATATATATATATATATATATAGTCAACCAATTCCATTTAACTTCAAATCCCCCTCTCGCGGCGGCCACAGTGCGCCTGGCTAAAATGCTGGTCACATCCATATGTAAACAAACACGCATGTAAACGGCAATTTATCGAGGTCAGAAAAGTTATCGAGTTCATTTTTATTTATTGCACAATAAATCAATTAATTGCTTATCGCGACAGGCCTAGCTCCAACTACGTCTCATGTGCTTTACAATTATTATTTGACACATTTCAAAACCCATCAACATGTAGAATTGATCATGAGTAGTTTAAAGTGTTAGTGTACTTTCTTGGACCATGTTTCCTCCCTCGTTTCACTTCATTTAGAAAAGTGCTCCTGGGATGCCCTTGTGGCTTATTTGTTATGGCTAGGGATGCTCTGATCGATCGGCCGCCGATCGATATCGGTCGAAACTCACTCTCTGCCGATCGATCGGTGCTCTCTAAACATGCCGATCGCGAGAGCCGATCGCATGATGTAAAATACATGACACTTTTCTCTGTGTGCGGCAAAACAAGCTCGCCAAAATGGCTTCACCAGTCTGGCAGTATTTTAAGGTTTAAATGACAATAAAATAGCGGCCGGTATGCAACGTGTGTGAAGCAGAAATCCTGAAACTCCACCCGCTGTGACGGACCGGTGAGCGGAGCGAAACACACACTAAGAGTTAGACCTAACACACTTAGCCATTTTATCTACCTCTGGAACAAGCTAAACTAGTTGTAAATATATTTATTCTTCACTGTCGGGTCACTCATTACTAGATCAGTGAGCTGCATGAAATACTGACAGGCTGTCAGGAGAGGGGGAGAGAGGAAAAGAGAGCGCTTATCCGCTCATTTCTCCCGTGTTATTATCCAAAGTTAACTTCAAGTTAACTTGAATAATGTACTTCATTTGAATGTAATAATTATGTTGGTTGTTGTTTGTGGAAGCGCCAGTGAATGAGCCCCATTAACTGAGTTGTAAACATCACTTTAAATGGAAGTGAATAGGCCCCGCCCTCTGGATCGGATCGGCGATCGGTATCGGCCGATACTGATTCAGGTGATCGGCCCCAAAATTGGCGATCGGAGCATCCCTAGTTATGGCACCAATTTATATCTCTATCGTAGGTAGAATCAGTTCAGACCTTTTCCCCCCGGGCTAGCCAAGCCTGGGAGAATGCAGGGTAGGAAGCCCTTTCTATATTGTAGAAAAAAACAAAGAACTTCTTGATGTTCCTTTTTGTGATTCCGTTTAACTAAATTCTTCTTGTATTTCCTCCAGGAATAGACACATGGCTGACGCGGCGCGAGGTCCCGCCGTTGGCAGGCCATTGGCATTTGCCAATGAAGAACGGAGGGCGGTTCATTCCTGGACCCGGATATCTTCAGCGGGGCACAATGTCCTATTGGATGCTCTGAAGATCCTCAGTCCGATGTCCCGTGACCTCTCAAGCAGTGAGGAGCTGGTAACCTTCCTGCAGGAGCTGGCTGAGGAGGGCCATAAGCCCACTGTGCTTCGTAGCAAGGACGTATACAGCTACCGCTCCAGCACAAACCAACCGCTGACTCAAGACATGCTGAAACCATCCAACCGAAATATGAGACCCACCGCCAAGAGACGAGGAAGAAAGGTTGTTGCCAAGAAGAGCGAGGTGCACCCGTCATGGAACATCTCTGACATCCCCAAGATTCAAGGGGTTCGTCCTCCAGATCTTCGAGTAGACCATCGGGCCATCATCGGTAGCAGGACACCTAGTCGGACTGTAGAAATATCACAAGAGCTGCAGTTGCGACCCTGTCTCAGACTGACCAACATTGAGGGCCTGACTCGCTTTCATACAGCCAGACTCCAGATACACACTTCCTGGGACTCATCATCTGAGGCTCCCTCTGTTGGTTTTTTACAGCAACAGTCCCTTCCAGCGCTTTCAGGAATACCTTTGCAGCCTTCTCAGAATGGTGGTGGGGCGCCCACCAAAGCTGTGGCCTTGTTCAGCCAGAAGAGCCTGTCCTGCCCAATCCGATTGGATGGCGCCCTTATTGGAGATTCTGCACCGGTCTTCTACACAAATGGACGGGCATTCCCAGAGACTCACACAGCGATGACCAGCAATGGCTGGAGGAGCAATGGCCTCCATCGAAATGGTCGTGGCCCCAAGGAACCAAACCATCCGACCCGTCAGAGAAACGGTTGGAAGAACAAAAACAGTTTGAGATGGAAAGTGATAAAGGTGGATGAATCTCGCTCTGTGGCTGATGCCCGCCGAAAAGCACAGAAGCTCTTACAGGTCAACCTATCTCCTGTGATTCAAATCCAACCACTCAACCATTTGCTAAGAGACTTCAGATACCAGATTAAATGATAATTTACCCCAAATCAACACACATTGTTTCCTTTAGCAGATGTTGGTGTTTTACATCATTAGCCTGTACCTGGCTGAGCCTCAGTGTTCATAGTAGACATCTTACATGCGCTTTCATTATCTCTGCTGAGTTTTTGGAGGTAGAGAAGTCGGTCTGTCTGAAGTCCTGGTTCCTGACAGGGACACTTTACAAAGCATTTGAAGTTGGGTAATGATTTGGGATTTGATAACTGGGAACTTACTGTTGGTCGAATGCATATTTACGGTCTACTTTAGTTTACACTAACCTCCTTCAACCAACCATCATTCTGCTTTGAGTTGACCACCTGCGCTCCAATGTTGTCAATTATTTTTGGGATGCAGCATCCACTGTGACTCTTAAGTCAAAAGTTAATTTTCTGCCCTTTAAAAGGGTATTGGGTGCTAAAAGTTGTTTTGAAGAGTATTTATAACTAATTTCATGTAAAGTGCCGTTTGTTAGAAAGCCTTTTTTACTTGTAGCGCTCCAAACAGTGCTGTCAATATTCTATTGACTGCCAGGATCGAGAAATGTCTTCAGATGAGCAGACGTGGTGTTTGGTTGGTTGGTTGGTCACAGCAAATAAATTAAAGGAGGGGAAAATAAAGAGAAGTGTTTAGTTTGTCTTCCTTTTTTGTATTGTTGGTGTTTCCACTGGAAATCAGAAGGCTCTGACAGCGAGTACAGCAGGGAATCAAACCTGTGGCCCATACAGAGATACCTGAATGATTTGTTTGAACTTCACTCCTTCACAAAGTGTTCCTTTTTGGTTAAGTATTTTAAACTGTTGGGTGATTTGATGTCTTACAGTAACAACACATGACTATGGAATATGGAAAAGGACTTTGGCCTCGTTAAACATTTGAATGACCAAATGTATCTTCAAATCTTAATCAAAATATTGAATGTTTAAGAATTCTTTAATTGCATAATTGTTCTCCTTATTCGGCTGGATCTCTGAATTATTTTTTTAAAACAAGTACAAATTATTCATTTACAAATATTTTTCTCTCAAAATTCCATGGTATGACCAAGCCCCCTTCCATATTTCTTATTGCATTATCTGAATACATTTCTGTACTTCTAAGGCAACTCAATTTGGAGCCTAGATGTAAGACATTTGTTTGGCCAAATAAAAAATCTGTGTGGTGATATTCGTTAACTTGAGCTACACTTTTGTTTCCTGAGCATTTAAATTTGAAACTGCAAGTTTAATCTCCCATCATAACTCATCCCTGTGTGAGTCGGTGGCGAGAACACCCACACTGGTTTTCTCTACAGGTGCTAACTTCGCAACATTGGTGCTGAGTTAAATGACAGGCACAAGAATGTCATCATGTTTCTGTTTTTGTAGTTAAAATTGGAGCAATTGGGAGCACTGACTTCCTGTGAGGTATTCATTAAGGGGCTGATGGCGCTGCTGCCTTCTGCAGGTTGGGATAAGCATGCCAAACCATTAACTTTTATGTCAACATTTGTGAAAAACTCCTGTGAAGTCCCCTAAAAATATGTCTTAGCAATGTTGTAATTCTTAGTCCACTTACTAGCTTTGTCTCTGACATTTTGCTGATATCAAGACCATTTAATGTGAATGAAAGCCCTGGAAAAAGCCAGTAAGGACACATGGATTTAGGATTTGTAATGTCAGTTTTTGTTTCTTTCCAAAAAAAGAAGATCAATTATAAAAAATATATTATTTGCTTAAACCACCAAATCTTCAAGTACATGTACCAGGTCAGTTAATTTGGACTGTTGCAAAAAAATAAATAATCAGATTTGAATAGGAAATCTTAGCTTGCTGGTGTGAAGTTCATGCATTATTCACAAATTGGCAATCTGCTCTTCTGTTTAGCTGTTCTGGTAAATATTACGTTCTGGAAGAGTCACTCGTTTCACCCCACCGATCTGTCTGTACGAGTCATGTTCATTCCCACTGACAATTCCCTTCTTTCTGTTAGTCTTGTTTGTGCAACACTTAATATTGTATTTCCTACATGCTCTTTGAAAACTGTTTTTATTCAATAAAATCGATCTGAAAAGAAACATGGTTGTCTTTTCCCCCCCATCTACAACATTGTTCATAACGGGCCTATCCTTCAGTTTCGAATTTATTTAATTTAATAAATGTAATTCAGTCAGACAACTCACGTGTTTCTTTGACATGTTAATTATAAGCAGCATATAGTTTGAGTTTGGCGTCTAGGCTCGGGCCTCATCACTCCACAGATGTACACAGAACATTGAGTGATGATTAGATAACTACCCCCCGAGCCTACAGGTGGAAGCTGGGGCGGTGGTGGGGCAGGCGAGCAGCAGCAGCATGAACACAGCATCAGGAGCATGAACGCAGCAGCAGCAATAGCGAGGCAGAGGCAGGAAGACCTGGCTGGTTGTAAGAGGGACAAGGTGCGTCACGTGCCAATGTATCATTGGTGCTTGAGTTGACTGTCTGAACTAGCTTGCAGGCTTCGCCCCATTTATTTTTTCTTAAAAGTTTAGCCAAGTTATCTGCAATACTTCCTTGCCTTCCTTACTAATCTTGATGAAACATTATAATAAGTCTGTCTTATGTAGCACAACTTTTTTTATTATGTGTGGGGAATAGATTTACTAAAAAAATGTAATAGACATAATTTGAGTTCTTTCAATAGCTTACCAACCTTTGACAAATTGACTCTCAATGCATATCCGATATAAATACAACATTGGACAAACCTATTTTGATTGGATTTTAGGGCTTTATTACGATTAGCTTTGTTAAAATTCAATACATTTTTCATTGAAAAAGCTCAATTCATTTATATAGCTTCCATGTCATCAATAGCTTCAACTTAATGGATCGTATGGCTTTCATATCATCGTTGTTGAAAAGTCTCATCTCTCCAATAGCATATTTTTTTGACTCAAGGATTTCAAATCAATGCATTATTGCAATACTACAAGGCGGACAAGTCTCTTTTATTGGGTTTTAGTGTTTTTTTTTTTAATAGAAAAGCTCAGAATGTTCTGTAAACAGGACGAAATAGGACACATTATTAAATCTTAGTTCACCTACTTTATATGAAGATTTGAGATTTTTTCTTAAAGTCTAGATTTCCTTTAATATCTTCCATTTAATGTGACCCATTGACTCCAAGTCAGTGCAGCATTGTATTACTACATTGGAGTAACTGACACACCAACTTTTTTATATGAATATAGTCACTAAAACGTAGCAGTTTTTTTTAATTAAAAAGCTATTTATAGCTTCCATGTCATGTTACCAAGTCTTAATGCGGAGTCACGACTCCTCATTCATTTAGTAATGTATTACAACACCGGACAGGACGTACACACTTCTCTTTGTTGGATTGTTTGACCCTGTAAACAATATTTATTTCAAATAGTAAGTGGACTGAAATAAAAGCTGCTGTGGTGTCAAAGCCGTGCTCCGGGTTCAGCCTGCTGGCATCATCTGTCTGCTGTGGGAGGTGGAGCAGGTGGAGAACCAGATATCAAAGCCAAATGGCGCGTTCACACCAAGAACTCAGTTCATGAGAACTCTTTTAGTTCTGATGAACTAAAGCAGATCGCGTTCACACCAAAATGAGTTCCTGGGGGTGGATTAGGCTGACGCCTTCTTCTTCTTCTGCTTTGGGTTTACTGGCAGGCCGCAAACAACTTCACGGCGAGTACAGTAGGTGGCGGTATGCACCTTAAAGTTGCAATCCGCCAAAAAAACGAGAAAAGAAGAAGAAGAAAAACCTCCCGCGTATACTGCCACGCCCACCTGCTGTATATGAGGCGTCTGTTTACCTTCCGACCTCAGACATGAGCTTCGTCTGAGTTATTTAAGCAAACACAAATACAGATCGTCGACCAGTCAAATGCAATAGCAATGCTGATTCGGAGGCGACGGCGGTTAAGAAGGATTGACAAAAGGATTGGACGACGACATGCACGCGCTATGGATTGCGTAACGTGTGTGAAATGAATAAACTGTGCCAGGTGTGTCGTATGCACACTAAATAGGCTCAGCAGTTAACACACCTTTATTATATATCCTCCTGAGAGCAACTGCATCCGCCTGCCATGAACCCTACAGAAACGTACGTGTTAGTTTTGGCCCATAGTGGCCTCCATTTGTGTCGTGTAAAATGGGGGAAATCAAAAGTTAGCAAATCCCCATGTCATGTTCATAAAAACATTTAGTTTTAGGTCAAATAATTATTACACTGCTCTGAAACTCACTACACTAACTCCTAAGATGTTTACTATAATTCATTAAAAATATTGAACTCACAACACTGGTAATAACAAACTTAACCATTTCTCTTTCTATAAATAAATAGTGCTTGTGTTGATGGATGCCATTTTGAAATACAATGAAATTATCTTTTTGAAAGCCACAATAAATAAAGCTTCGCCAGTTTATAACCGATGAAACATGATGGTATCAGAATAATCACTTCCATGTGATGTATAGGATGCTACACAGGTCACTGTAAAGATAAAGTGTCAGAGGAGAAATAAGCAAGCTTAGTTACATGAAATGTAATGAAAAATGTAAGATACAGGCTCTGTTTAATCGCCATGTAGGTTCTCTTTTATTGCACACTCAAGACAATATCAATAACAGCATCACGTTGTCCCAGGTGTGTCATATGCATGTAAATAGAAGTTAACATTTTCAATATAAAATAAAGTGTCATTAGTATAAAAACATATATATATATATATATATATAATAACAATAGGTAGGCTCAGCAGCAGACACACCTTAGTGCAAAGTGAAGTGTCAGTATTAATAACAGCGGCATATATATAATCACAATAATACAAAATGAACTGTCCCAGGTGCAGGCAATTTGGGGTGAAGTGTCTTGCCCAGGGACACAACGACATGCTGACTGCAGTGGGGTTTGAACCTGTGCTTCCCTGATCCGAACACCAACGCACTAATCCACTGCCCCACACGCCTCCCAACAAGTCATTGTACAGTTTATCAACGACGACAAGTTTTTCTTAATTTTTTTTTTGAAGGCCTGTTGGATTTAAATCAGCTCGCTTAGCACTGCCAGAAGCCCAGCCTGAAAGGTATTTTGTTGCTCCACCTGGCGCGCTGACACCTCCACCTGGCGCGCAGCCGAGTCAGCATGGCGCAGCATCACCATGAGCAGCTGGTCGTCCGATTCCTGGGCCTTGTGTGAATGCAGCAGCCGTTCGTTGTGCACGCAGGTCCTCATTCTCCTTGCTGACCATGGCACGGCGGTCCTCCATCGCCATGATGGTGTCAAGGAAGCTGTCATCCCGTGCCCGCTTTCCTAAGGAGGAGAAATAAGCAAGATGCAAGATCAGTTTAATCGCCTAGTAGGTTGTCAACAGAGACAACATTGGACATGGTGCAGGCAGGGACAGTGTACAAAATGCAGGTGTAAAGTAGAAGATAAGATAGGATCAAATAATATCATGTAAAAAATAAATATCAAAGTGCCCTTATTTATGGTTTTGTGCTTAATGTATGCTTGAACTTTGTTTTATAGGGATTAGTGGACATCAGTTTGATGTGTAACCTTCTTTCAAGGCCAGAGTAGTTACAGTGTAAGTGGATTGACATCTAACATAACATGGCTGAGTAAAATTATAACAATCAATAAAAAAAAAAGGAAAAATAAATTGAATTTCAATTACATTTTTACTTAAATGTGCAAAATATTAGAACATAAATCTTTGTGGCATGCAGGTAATCAACTGTTTAAGCTTTTACCATTAACATGTAGAATGAATGTTGCAAATTACACATGAAATTATAGCAACTACCATAATTTGTTTACCTCCCTATTCATTCCAGTACAGCTAGCATGCTAATTGCTAACGTTATATTATCGTTTTATCCCGGAGGGGAAAGCTCACTAGTTTCCAATCCAGAGAGAAACACACGATTAGTGCCATGAGTTAGTGAAGCAAATTACAGAACATTGCACACTTATTCACAAGTCAAAACGTTTTTTATAGCGGCCGAGAATAGCTAGCGAGCTAGCTAGATGTTATTAGCTAGCTCGGTTCCGGCCTGCTAACAGTGTTACCCAATTCAACCTAGCATTGCTATACTCGATCTACCGAGCAAATAAAAGTACATCTGAGACCAGTATTGTGCAGATTAAAACAATGCATTGCATGTAGTTTATTTTACCTTCCAGGCATGACTGCGCTGTGGACGGTTTCCAGGTCTGCTAACTTTACTGAACCACGGACATTGCCTTCAGTAGAAGCTTCTGGATCGCGTCCTCCGAGTAAATAGCCAGAAGCGCCGACACATCCTCATCACTCCACCGCTCCGATGATTTATTTAGTGTTGCTATAATAACTGCTTTCACAAAAGTAATCTCTTCGGGTGCGCTGCCCGAAGCGAGCAATACAATGGCCGCTTAAAAAAAAAAATTCAGAGTCAAACGGGCGTGGTTTGCATTCCGCACAGCCAATCAGACTATGAACGTAAAAATGGTTCTGATTAACTAATTTAGTTCCTGGGGCTTTTTGGTGTGAACGCAAATATATCGTAGTTCTGATGAACTATTGTGGGAAAAGTACTCCGGTGTGAACGCTGTTGGAGTAGAATACTTCTGCTACGTGCCGTTCGTTGGATGAGGCTGGATCTCTATTAAATTAAGAAAGGAATTGAAAACACCGGAATCAAAGTTATAACAAATTATCTGAGTTTACTTCTAGTAGGAAACCAAACACATATACAAGTTATACAGAGTACTCCGGGTACTCCGGGCTTTTAGATTTGTGATGCGATTCGGATAAATGCATCGGGATCAAACCAACTCATCAAACCAAAAAGAAATTGGACTTCAGGTCTGTGATGCGATTCGGACACAGATATCGGGATCAAACCAACTCACCAAACCCAAAAGCATTTTTACACACACAAACATCAGTATTTCTATCTGTCCTTGGGGCGGAGATATGTCGATTCTTCCTTCCCACTTTTCTCCCAAGCGAATTAGAGAGCCCCTGGGGAGGAGCTGTTTAAACTGACCACCTCCCCCAAGTGCCCT